ACAGAATAGATAACCTTCACATTCATTAACCTCCAAGCTTCTTTCTAAATCAAACTCTGTCAAACACATCACATAAAGTCATTTATATTTGAGACAAGTTTGAATGTTTCAGGAAGGCTGGCTTCCAAAATTTTAGAGATCCCACTCACAGATGTCAAAACAGCATTTCCACATTCTCAAAAAAATCTTTAATTCAACTTTGTAGAGATAAGAGGTTTTGCAAAAAAACCCTGTACCCAAGTTCATTTGGTGCATCCAGATTTGTTCTAACCACATCTGCCAGAAGGGTGAAAGTTTCTTCCATAGAAAGAATCAGACAACCAAGCCAATCAGTATAAAAATTCGAATTTCTCACATATTGAACCATAAGAGGCATATTACATCACCATATATCACAAAAAAGTTTTACATAGCAAAAATAGTTTTGTTACTGATTGAATCAAACCTTGTTCACCGAGATAAAGACGGATTCCATAAGAATTTTGATACTCCAGGGAAAAAAATCAAGAAGCTTGACTTGTTACTTTGAGTATGAAGATGATACAGAAGGGATGCAGAAAAGACGGAAAGATATAGGCTAAACAGATAGAGGGAAACAGCGCCTAAAAAGACCGATACAACAATGCAGAAATATTGTTACAAACAGCTCTGAACTACACCAGTAGTAGAAACGGTTTTTATGAGAAAGAAAACAACTTATTTCCTTGTGCTTATGATACTGATATCCCCCATTCTTCCTGCTTGTGACCAGCTACAGGGAAATAATAGAAATACCAAAGCCCCAGCATTTTCAAAGCTAACCAATACTTTGTAAAGTTCCTACGTTCTGGAAAACACAGCGAAAAGAAAGATGAATGTTACGCAGGTCTTTCCATCTCTCTCATCTCTGCTCCTGACATGTAATCAATTCTCAACACTGGGGCTGCTGCTGCTTCCCTCCCCGCCGCCTGCCTCCGATTTTGATTACAGACAGATAGATTATCTCCCTTGCTCCAACTTATTTTATACTGAATTTATCATCAGTTTTTGGGATGTTAACGGAATGTTCCAGCGCAGAGCTACAAGAGATGCTCTATCACTTCCTTCCCCATCCCCGTTTAGGCATACACCAACTTTCACCCGGTGATCACCTGTACCAAAATGCTTCACCTGACACTGACAGCACCCACGATGCAACCCCAGACACACTGTGTGCGGCACCGCCGCTGCTTCAGCGAAACCCTGTCCGAGAGTAGAAAGACCCAGAGGCAAAGCATGGGCCACGCCCGCCGCAGCGGCCTTGGGCGTGCCTGAGGAATAAGCGGGCGAGTCCGCGGGGCTGTGCCCACCGCACGTTCCGGTGCGGGGCCGATGTCCGGCTCACCGCCTGCGCTGCCCGCCCATCGCGACACCGCTTCTCACAGGAACTCCCCCTCGCCTCAGCCACCGCGCTGTGTACCTGCGTCCCGGCCGGTCCAGGAATGGGAAGGAGGGAAAAGAGGGAAACGAAGGAAAGGAGGGAAAGGCAGGAAAGGAAGGAGTGGGGGCCGCCTCACCTGCCCGCGGCGGTCCCGCAGACCCCGAGGAGGCGGTGTCGCCGCTGCCCCGCCCCCTCCGCTCCCTCCTGACACTTCCGGGGGGCGCCGCAAAAATCTCGGGGCGCCGCCGGAGCTGTCACTGTGGTTGCTCTGGCCAGGAAACTGTGGCCCCCGCGACGGGCTTTGCCAGTATCTCTGCCGGAGCAGGTGCGTGCCCGCGGCACAGCGGATGTTCCTGGCTGTGCCCGCCGGGCCGAGAGGGCGCGGGAGGCGGTCGCGGGAAGCAAAAAAGTCGCGTTGGCGTTGCTTCGTGCATGCGCGGGGTGCGAGGCCCAGGGAGACGGTCACTCGCGGCCGCCGCTCCCGGCATGCCATGCGCGGCTGCGATGCACGCTGGGGTGTGTAGTGCTGTGGGCGGGAGGGAGGATGCCGAGGCGCCCTCCCGAGAGGAATCTCTGGTGAGAGTTCTGGATGGCGGCTGACGCTACCGTGGGCGTCAAGACACGACTTAGCGTTGTTATGAATGATGTTCTATTTTTTCCAATTTATCAAGCAACAAGATTAAATTTAATAGTAAGTTTTTAATAGTAACAAAATGAATACAATCAAAGTATTGGAGATGACAATTAAAGTATTGGAGATGAAACAATCAAAGTGCATATATTTAAGAATATACAACATTTGGCAGTAAGTAATTTAGTGTAATTGAGGTTCGTATAAAGCATAAGCAAAACCGACCGGGGAGGGGCCCCCCTCCGACCGGGGATACGGGGAGTGGCTCCCATTCCTCACGTACCAAAACATCCAGGCTAACAATCCCACTTATATACTGTAGGTTACAGAAGTTTCTAGAAAGCTCCTCCTAGTTTCTATTCCTAAAATCTACGTAACTATACTGCACGGCGCATGCTCTACTAATGGGTTAGGGGGTCTCTCATCCTTTTGAGGGTCTTATTTCCGATGAAGGCTCATCATCTTCATCAGTGACCGAGGTGTGACCCGCAGGTAGCGCAGGCGCCCTGTGTGACTGAGCAGATGTTTTCCATAACATGACTCTAATTAAGTCCCATGCTTGGAATCATTCCATTTTTGCCCATTTCAAGGTTGAAGCTGTATTTCTAGATGCTGCTTATCAGACCTACGTCCTTCTACTATTCTTATTTGACTTTCTTCTAACCTCCTTCTTCGACTCCCAACATCTGGAAGATGTCCTTTGTCCTGTCTCGCTCATCTCCCCCCTCACTCTGTAACAATTGTTTTCTATTGATCTAAATAAAATTTTGTTAATATAGTTACAACTTAATTAGCACGAATCACATTTATCACAGCGTGCTTACCCACTCGGCCTCATAGGCGCCCACCCCAACCCTCTGTCACGCTTGCAAAACCAGGGAGGAATGTAGGCGAGTCTGTCAGTCTGATTTATACTTTTTTTGGAAGCACCTGGGTTAGGAAAACGGTGTTTTGAAGCTGTGTATTGGGAGACAGCTTATAAGGGAGCTGGAGGGGGACTTCTTACATGAACATATACTGATTGGACAAGGGGGAATAGATTCAAAGAAAGAGAGCATGTTGAGATCAGGTATTTTAAAAAATCTTTACTTAGAGGATGGTGAGGCACTGGAACAGGTTGCCCAGAAAAGCTGTGTCTGTCCCATTCCTGGAAGAGTTCGAGCCCAAGTAGGTTGGGCTCTGAGGAACCTCGTCTAGTGAAACGTGTCCTTCACCATGGCAGCAGTTTGGAAGCTGATGATCTTTAAAGTCTGGCCCAACAGCCAATTCCTGTTTCTTGTAGAAACAGCAGTCACAGGTAGGGGAATTGGTCAAAAGCTGGACTAAATAGTTTTGCAGTTAGGATTGTATTTGTGTGTAGGAGAAAATGGGCATTAAAGAATGAAATACTTGAGTGTTATCAGGTGTGACTGTTTTGGCTAAGCCAGTACTGCTGAAAGGCCTCTGGTTATGTGGAACTTTTATTCTGTTTGCTAAAATACTTTCTAGTGTATCATTTTTCAGCTTCAAAGGTACTAAAAAATGGATAGCTGATTTTATATCTTCGATTTTTAGACTACCAGATGCATTATGAGTATTGAGAGACATAGCATATAAATTATCTGAATAAACAAGAAAACCAGAAGATTTTATAAATTGTTCTTTACAGCGCTGTTTTGTTTGACATTTTTTTAGGAGTAGGCCAAACTAAGTAAATTAGGTTGTGGGGGAAAATTAGTAAGGAGACAAGAAACTAAATATCCAGGAAGAAAGCTCATAATAGGCAGCAGTCCAGCAGACTTAAGAACGTAACAGTTTGCTGGATCAGGATCCTACTAAATTATTGTATGCAGGTGCTACATAGTGAATTCTTTCTTAATTGGCCCTCTTAAGTTCTTCAAAACACTTTTAACAGAAACTGCCATTGTAGGATAGCATGTCTGCTTAGTTTAAGTGTATGCTGTTGTCCTACTTAGAGATATCTTGTTGCTGTGCAACTTCATTTTATTTAAATGGACAGTTTTGGGCTCCATGGAGAATATTTGCTTTTTCAGGCAAGTTTAAAAAGTACTGGAAGAATAAAGATTGTTCTGTAAGATGTTTTCTTCCCATATGTGAAAGTCTGCGTCAAGCCGAAACAGTCTTGTGGTTAAGTGAGAGGTCATATTGGGCTAGTTTTGACTTCAGGTAACTTAAGTGCAGGACTGGTGTGGAGAAAACCCCTGAGTAAAACTTGAGTGTGTGCCCCTGGCAGATGGGATATTTTAATTGCCCTTCACCAATGCTCTTTTACTGTCAGAAATACTAGTTAATTGACTTCTTTTAAACAACAGAGACACTAATTTACTTCATGGTAGCCTCACCTCCTTTTTTGCTGTTAGTTATCCAAGTTACCAGCTCAGTGGGTTGGTTTAGCATGTGCTGTCAGATATAAAGTTACAGGAAACTGCTGTGTCAGAACAGTCCTGTGTTCTGGCTCCTCTTCTTCCCTGTTTTGAAACACCTTCTTTCTTCACAGGTGAGACAGTGGTGTTGGAAAGTGCATCTGTGTTAGTTCTCTCAGGTATGAAAATTTTACTTTAAAACTTTAAGGCTATATGACAAGAGACTTGACTTGTTTTGAAAACCAGCTCAACCAGGTTGTATGAAATGAATTATTCAACGAGGCAAAAGTCTTGTCACTTTTTGAGTGGGAAGTTCCTGTCATGCATTTGCCATTGCTAACAGCAGTGCTTAGCACAGGGTGCGGGCTCCAAAAATAGCATATAACATTTTATTATCTGGGAGGAAAGGATGAAATGAAAGTAGGCATAATCACTCTTAAGAGCTCTATCTCCTTCCCACTACCAGCATAGTAAAGGTAGGTGAGAATCTATAAATTGAAAAATAGGCATCTTGTCTTACACATTCTGGTTTGAATAGCATCACCACATAGTGACCACCACATATGCATTCCAGAGTGCCTAAATACTGTTACTTCCCTGGAATTATAAGCCACTTAGCACATATGGCAGACAAGCTAATTACTCTTTTTAGCAGTCTGTGTATTGTCACAGTCTGGCACTGGAACAGTGGCAGGATAAGGAAGAAATTTACTTAATGATATGGATAACCAGCATTCACTATAAAATTATGATATGGCCGACCCCAAACTCGATCCTGTTCTTGTAGACATTGACGAGAGCAGGACTAAACTGCTGTTTGTCTATGCTGCTGGAACAGATTTGGAAAAAAACCAAACCACTCAAGTAATGGAGAGGCTGCATCAATAATCCTGCCTGTGACTATTTAAATTTTCATTATTACATAATTATTTTTATGCTATTCTTGCTAAACCAAATCATGTCATTGTACTAATGACATTATTGCTTATTAATGTTATCAGGGAAGTCAGCCCTGATATCCGTCAATGAAGGAATTTTTACCTTGCATGCAGAGTCTGATTTGGAATTTCAAAATCTAATTGTATGATTAATTAGTGAAAAAACACCATGCTATTGGTTTCTCTATGGGAACTTGGGTTTTTTCCCATTTGTCTATGTAGATTTTTCTCAACCAAGGTGGATCTTTGGACAATCTCCAGCACAACTGAATTTGAGAGGTACCCAAGAATGAGAAGAACAATTTTTTTCTCTTTGATACCATTTCCTTTCCCTGTCCAATGAGTGTAGTAGAAGTCTCTATTGTCTGGAAATTTTAAAGTATAGATTGACAAAACCAGCTCTCCTTGGAACAAAATTAGTGTTTCAAGCAGTGTTCCTTGTTGCTAAAGTTGGTGGTGGATGTGTATAATGGGTTGTGTAACATCTTCCTAGAGGCTACATAACCAGGATGCCTCAGAGCTACAAAGAAATCAGTAAAAACTTGAAGATGTGCTTCTCTGACAATTTATCTAATAAATTCTGTGCATTTTGTTCAGATTGGCAATGGTTCGTAGTGGAAAAAATGGTGGGCTCCACCTGAAGCAGATTGCATACTACAAGCGAACAGGGGAATATCATCCCACAACATTATCAAGTGAAAGAAGTGGAATCAGGAGAGCTGCCAAAAAATTTGTTTTCGAGGGTAAAACTTTTCTCTCAAATTATGCTAAAAATAGATATTAAGTAAAGATTTGGTTATATGAAAAAAAAAAGTGAGAATTTCCTCTGCAGCGTTTTGGGATTTTAATAAACATTCTCTATGAGACAAATGCTCTGCAAATCCTTGGTTAATATATAATAAGATGTTTGTAGAAATGGAAGCTCAAACTGCTTTAGTCCAAGACAGGTTTATTTATCTATACAAAAGCCAAGCCTTGTTTTATATGCTATAGAAATATGTAGTCACTGCAATCCATAATTGAGCGGCTTACAGAAAGGGAGATAGATCTGCAGCTAATGACAAGGAATGCTCCATCCAGTCTGGGGGATGGCTGGGCAGAAGTGCAAGGACAACTTTGCCATCAGTCACCTGAGAGCTTCCCGGCCCTTCCTGTCTTAATTGCAACCCTGGGAGATACATGAGCCTTTGTGGTCTGCTGTGCTGTCTCAATCCCATCAAAACAGCCAATGTTGTGTAGAGAGAAGGCAGGGAGGAGTAAAATCTTTGGCTATCAGTGTCAGGTTGCTGGCAGGCACCCAACAGCTTCACAAACAACAGTTTCAGCACTCCTACCTCCCCTTTCCAACCCCAGTGTTAGTTTGTGTTTCAGTCAGACTTCCTGTGGGAATGCTGTCTGCATTCTAACTTGCCCTTGTAACTAATGTCTCTTTGGAGACATTAATTGAAATGTTTGTAAATAAAAAGCTATGTTTACAACAAAGTGAACTTATTGTAATAAATTCTATTCTGAATCATGCTTAATAATTTAGTAAACTAAACAGAAGACAAAGCACTTGCTTACAATTTGCTGATACTTCTTTCAGAAAACAAGTTGTTCTATGTTGGAAAAGACAGAAAGCAAATGCGCCTGGTAATTGTTTCAGATGAAGAGAAGAAAAAGGTCCTCGAGAAATGCCACAAAAATGCTGCTGGCACTCATCACGGTATATCAAGGACACTGACTTTAGTGGAGTCTAATTACTACTGGACCTCTGTAACAAATGATGTCAAGCAGTGGGTATGGCTTCGTAGCTATAGGATACTTTATGTAGTTTACTACAAATGTTTGGTAATCCTATGAACTTTGGTACAGCAAGTAACTGGGCTGTTTCGTGAAGATGACATGTGAGCTTGCAATCACACTACAACTGGTCATCTTGGCAATGGATAGTGTTTCTGTTTACTCTTTTACAACTACTTTTTACTCTTTTACTACTGGCTTGTGCACCACTATGGTGTGGTGGGGAGCCATAATCTCTTTTGGTTTGGCCCCTGAGAGAGATTTTTTGTGCAAGGACTCTGACATATTTTTGTTAGGATGCAATGTGCCATCAGAAGGATGTGTGACCAGAGTAGCTGCTGGCAGATAAGAGTATGAAAATGGTGTCTCTGCTTTATGATTAGGTGTGTTCAGAAAATAGTTAAGCACATCAAAGTTTGGGAAAGTTCCTTCTCCTTCACCCAAAGATACAGGGGCAGGAAATCCTAGCAGAATTTGATCCTTCAAGAAACTGTATGTAAATGCCTTTTAAGGCCAAATTATTGTTGCTATTGGCTTGCTGCATTACCTTTCCTTAATTATTTACAGATAGTAATGAATTTTAAAATTTGTACTGTGAACTTGAAAGAGCACAGTGGTTTCAGAACGGAGAGAATTCATCTATGAGTTCTTTTACATGTCCCTCTCCTGGCCTTCAGTATTTTTTTATTCTGGTTTTATGCTGCTCCTGAAAAATCTAAGGGTAAAAAAATCGTATGAAAGGTGACAAATTTGTTTTGCATTGCTTGGTCTAATCTGATTTACAGAGAAATAGTGGAGGTCTATGATTCTGATGGTTGTCGTTACCTCACCATCACTTTTTATTGATAACTTTCTCCCTCATGTCTTCCTTAGGTGTATGCTTGCCAGCATTGCCAGGTAGCAAAGAACACAGCCACCAGAGTGCCCAAAATACACCCTCTCAAAGCGGAGGACCCATGGACAGCAGTCACTATAGAGCTAATGGGACCTTTCAATGTTACCATCAGAAGTCACAAATACATCATAATTATGACAGATTTGTTTACAAGATGGACTGTTATCTTACCACTGCATGACACTTCAGCAGCTGAAATTGCTAAAGCAATCATAAATGTGTTTTTCTTATATGGGCCACCTCAAAAGATGCCTATTGATCAAGGGAAGGAGTTTGTTTATCAGGTAATTATTTACATGGCTGGTTACTCTCTTTTTTGGTTGTTGTTTTATCCCTCAAAAAAACTCTACAACATTTTCCCTTGTATTAGATTTGAATTTTAGATTGTTTTTGAGAAAGACTTTAGTCTTTTTTTCTTTCATTGAAAAAGTAAAGAAGTTTGCACATACAAGTAATTGGTTTGACATTTTTTGTAATTGTAATGCTACACAATGCTTCCCAGGGCTTTATTCACAATTTCACAAAGTGAAATTATTTCCTGGCAGGCATAATGCAGGTTTTGTCACTCACTTGAACTGGCATAAATTTGCACACTGGAGTTATTCATCCATATGGCGCATATAACAATAGCTAAGTATTATATTATATATTATAATATGTATTATAAATTATATTATATTGCTAAGTATAGTATAGCAATAGCTAAGGGTATTTTTGACATAGGTTTATAGTGATTATGAAGGACGTATCACACTTCGTTCCTCTCAGAGATGATGAAGTCATCAGACTGTGATATAGAGGTGATGACAGACCAAGTGGCAAAAATACGATTAGGAGCCATTAATCACTCACTCCTAAGCCCTACTTACGGCTTTAGCTCTCATTCACAGTCCTGGTGTGCTTTGTGCCAATATGTATGCAAGATTTTCCCCAGTCCCCATCATATCAACAAAAGGGGTGGAAAGCTTTTTAATAAACTTTTTAAGGAGGTTTTTTTACTTGTAATGGGATGCAGAACAGGGGAAATGTTTACTATTTGTGTTCTTCTTCTTTTGAAGATAAATGAAGAACTGTTTTCACTGTTTGGAATGAAACAAATTGTATTGTCTTATCCTCAGACAGATGATGTAAATGAAAGAATGTGCAAGACAATCAAAACTTTCCTTGACAAGTATTGCATAGACCATCCAAATGATTGGGATGAACATTTGTCTGCTATAGCCTATGCTTTCAATCTAACAAATTTGGTATGTGAAGATCCTTCGTCTTTTGACTGAAGTCCTACAAAATGTCTACAAACTTTTATGCTAAATTTGCTTGCTTTTGGTCCCCATATAAATAGGAGCCAGATCAAAACACGCCATATTTCCAAATGTTCAACCGTAACCCACGTGTTCTTGAACCCATGAATATATGTGTGGAAGGAGAATACAGTAGTTTTGCTAAAATATTTGAAGCAACTAAAAAACTCAGTCAAGCACTGGAAGAAGAGAAAATCTCAGATTGCCAGGTAAATGTTAAGTATTTGAATTGTACTAGTAAGAAGATTGAAGATAAAGTTGAAAAGGTCTGAGGCATAAATTATAACTAATTAACCTTTTAAAATAATGTGGGGGTTTGAGTAGTGGTTTTTAGTACTTTTTCCTTCCCTTGTGATCCCTTAATTTCAGTGTAACACATGATATGTATTTGGAGGGAGTAACCTTAAAAGAGACCTATTGTCAGAAGTTTACTGTGTCTGGCTTAGAGGCAGAACAGAGAAGTTGAAAACTATTGCCTATGGACTGGTGATTTATAAAGATAAAAGCAATTACTTCATCGCCTGTCAGTCCCACATAATTACGAACTACACACATCCAAAACCACTCAATGTCATGCTTAAGCACTGTTAACCAATGGTACAAAATTGCATGGTTACTTTTGGGGAAAAAAAACAAAGTAATTTACACGTATCTTTCCACAGGCAGATAAAAAAACTTCAGATGAACAAAAAATCAGAACCAAAATCACAGTCAAAACGAAATCAAAACAACTAAATACCCTTCAACTTAAAGTTGGCCATGAAGTCCTCAGGCAAAGAAAAAACTGGTGGAAAGATGGTCGTTTCCAGTCGGAATGGATTGGTCCTTGTATCATAGATTACATCACAGAAAATGGTTGTGCAATATTAAGAGATTCCACAGGATCCAGGCTCAAAAGACCCATCAAGATGTCTCACCTCAAGCCATATATAAGAGGGTCCAGTGAAAAAGGTGTATATAATTTTTTTAAGTTTGTATTTTTATATATGTTAAAAAAGCTGGGGTTTTTTTTTTGTTTGTTTTTTTAATTTTTTTTTAAAAACTTCTCTGTTGTGGTGTTACTTTATTAGAATGAAACAAGCATCATTCACTCACCAGTGGGAGTTATATTAGCACACATAATAATGTAATAGCTGTACTTTTCAGTAAGGAGAATAGTGAGTGTGAGTGACGTCAAACTATGCACAGCATGGAACAGAGCTCATGAATAATGTTCAAAGTCTTTTTAAAAATAGCCTCTATTAAAGTTGCTTCAAATAACTGGCTTGGTTCTATTTGTGCTGGCTGATAGAATTATAAGAACATGATAGAAGTATAAGCAGGTTCAAGGAGCATTTTCTGGTTTTTTTTCTGTTTTGGTAAAGGCAGGATTCACATTCATTTTGCTTGGGCAATTGAAATGTTTCCTGTTCTACAACCTTAGAGTGTCTTCTAAAGCCTTAAAACAGGTAAACTATATCAGAGAACTGATTTTGGAGTAGTTTATTTTAAATTGTCCTGTTAAATAAATCAGTGTTTCCCTTACCAGATGAAATAAAATTGTCATGCTCTGTGGTAGGATGGCTAGAAATTTCCAAAGATTTGCGTAACCAACTTCTGCTCTTGATCTTACATATGCAGCATGCCATTTCACAAATCAAACAGTGACAGCTGCTTCTTTTCTGCTCATGCTGTCTTTGAGTCACCAGAGCATTTTTAAAACAATTAAATACTTGGTGTACAGAAGACTTCTGTCACAGAACAAGCTGCTTTTTGCTTCAGAGTTCTTGAAGAGCAGAACAATTCCCACCCTATTGGCACATGTGGTCAAGCTTTGGTTCTTGTATGTATGTAAATTACATTGAGATGGTAATTTTTTCTATCACTGCTTAAATCTGAGAGATTTGCAAAGCTGAAACCAATTCTGGACTTTCATGTAACAAGCTGGAATATTTATGTCAGTCATCAGTTATGGATTTTGTAGCTAAGATACTGATTTCATGTTATGTCACGAGGCTGCTACTTTTTTTGGATGATCACTCTATGCCTTCCAGTTCTTCATTAAATTGCTGATGCATAAGAAGGAAGTCACACACATATCAAGCATGTAGATAATGAACAGCTATTACAATTACTACTTTCAACTACTTTCAGCTTTTTATACTGTCACACAATTTACCAAAAGTTGTCTTTGTAGTATTAGAGCCTAATACATTTACCGCTGAATACTATAGAAGCAGTGCATAATAATAGTGCATAATGCAGAATTCCCTTTTTCAGGAAGTGGCTGTCTTGGTCTTGGCTGGAATAGATTTTTTTCTTGTTGTTGTTTTTTGGTTTTTTTGTTTGTTTGGGTTTCTTATTTGGTTTTTTTTCTTACCTACTTTACTTGCTTTTTAAACTTTTTATGGTTTAAGAAAGCTTGTTATGTGTTGTATTAAGATTTCCCAGTGAGAGCATGAAGAAACCACATTTATTCATGTGCATGCACAAAATGAAAGAATCTACATGTCCATTTATTCAAGCTGTTAGTTCAGTAGGTGACTATGGTTGACATCAAGCTAGTCATTGATGCTAAGAAAAGCTCTAAATGTGGATCATCACAAGGAATATTTTGTGGATGTAATGAGATACCAAATATTTGATGCTCAGTGAAATTGGGAAATTCACATTATCAATCTGCTGTCACTCAAGCATTCTTGTCCTCTTTTGGAAATTGTTTTGAAAAGTAAGTTAGCACCTCACTAACATTTTAAGTATGGCTTCAGGGATCTGAACTGATGGCTATTTTCCTTTTACAGACAATGACATTCCACAAGGTGCAGTATTTTTTGACCATGACTATATTGGCTTATCCGAAAGATCTAATAATTCAAGCCAACCAGACTCTGTTGCTGAAGAGGAAAGAAATGCCTATAAAAGAGATATCATGTCTGCTGTACAGATTCCACCTGAAGCCTGCAAAGACCAAGAATTAGCAGATGGTAAACATGAGTCTGAGCAGAGAGAAGATCATTGCTTTGAACCAAACACTGCACAGCCTGAGCAATGGCCTTCACCTTGTTGGACCCTTCAGATAAAGACAGAGAATACTTAAGCATAGTCTTCTATCACATTTCATTGTCAAGGAGTTTGGAATTACTGTGGCAAACTGGAAAGAAAAAAACCGAAAGTAATTGCTCCAACTTCCCAATCCACTTTACTCTTTTATGAGCTAAGAGTGCTTCAGGTATCTAATTTGTCTGGGTGTTAAGAAAAAACATTAGTAAAAGGACATATTCTGATCATGTATTTAAATCTTGTTGGTAGAATGGCAATGTGACCATGCCTTAATGTTATCCTCTCAGGACACAGTGCATCACTGTAATGATCTTTTCCATTTAACTCTTGGATGACTCATTCCTAATGCACACTGTGAGATTAATTAAACCTAAGTTGGCGTAATTTCTCCCTCCACTACAGAGAATTTAACTTTCTAATTATATAACAGTTTTCTATTCTTCCTGGGAAGCTGGAGCCTCTGACATTTAAAACTTTTAATTTCTAGTGTAATGCATATAAGATCTCACAAAAAAATTAAACTGGCAAAATCAAATGTAGTGTTCTATGCATGAAACGATGGTTTCAGCTGTTCCTTGCTCATCAAAAGTCTGCTGCTGTAGGCAGTTTTAATATTTCAAGCATGTGAAAAAAATCTTAAGAGCATTTTAATATTCATTTGTGCTTTTTCCACAGAGATATGGTTCTCTGTTACAGTCACAGCTCTCTTCACTGAGCCTGTGCAAGTTGGGAGATTCTCCATGGACAGTGGGCTGTGAAAGGTGAAGCACTGGTATTAACCTGTTCTCTGATTTCCTTGAGTAAGTTGTTACTGGTCTAGACTTTCTGCTGAGAAGAGCACTTCTCAAAATCAGCAGCACAGGAATTTTTTCATATGGAAAACTGAGGAGTGCAAGTCAGGTTTTTTATGTTTGTTTTTGTTTTGGGTTTTGTGTTTGTTTTTGTTGTTTTTTTTTTTTTTTTGGGAGTTGACATGAAGATGAAGAAAATAGCAGAAAAATGAATTGAGCAATTCAGCAAATTCTGGATGCTGCTGTGGAAGATTTGCTTATCTTGCTCTGAATTTGTGTGTTCCCTCTTATTTCTGCTCCTGAATGTCAAATGTCTTGTAACACAGGTGGAGGAAAGTACTACTTATTAGGAGTTTTCAGTTAATTTTAGGCAATTAGATGTGGTCGTCAAGGCTGATTAAATACCTACCTCCTACAGAAGTTCACATGTACAGTACAGTATGTCTTTGATATCATGGGATGCAGCTCGGCTCCTATCTTAAATTTCAAATGAAAAATAATTAATACTCAAACTATTCTATGTCTCCACCAAGACTTCAGAAAGAGTCTTTCTGAATACATTGTGTGTGTGCACACATGGAATAAATATTTTTTTTATGTATCATGCATTTGAAGAAAATATTAGTATCAGGGATAAAACTGGAGAGTGAGGCATTGTTTGTAAGACTAATTTCTGCTTTGGTAGCTGCAAAAGAGAACCAGCATCTTTTTTTTTCTTACTCCAAGCGATCAGTTCCTGAATTATGCACAGTACAGCAGAGCTGTTTTCTGGGGCAGTCCCGGGGTAATGCAGGTGCTGTGGAGTTGTTAGAGCTACACCAAAGAGAAAGAAAATGCTGCCGTGAGATAGTAATGGGGAAAACAAACATTTAACATACTCTGTACATTTAACATATTGTTGATCATTCGGGCTTCCTGGTCATTTTGATCTACTGTATTAATAAGCAAGCATTAGTGACTTACCAGTGCACTGAAATGTAGCCTTCTCTGCATGGGGGATGTTAATTGAAATAAAATACAGGGTTTTCAAGCTCTTGACATGAAGAACATCACAGGAAACTGGGAAAAACCCCAGTGTTTGGCCAAAACTGACACAAGGAAGCAAGATTTATCAGTGTCTTCAAGAAACAGATACTATACTCTTCTGCACCTTTTAGAAGACCTGCTGGCCTGCTGTTTATATCTTGGAAACCAAACTATGTAGAAATTTTGAATGAAAAGCAGTACAGAAAAAGCTTTAATTTGAAGAGGAAAGCTCTTCCAGATAGAAGCAACCAGACAGTAAACTGAGTTTTTACACATTTGATTCTGGAGCAGTTAATCCTGAGAGATGCATTCTCTGGTCAGTTCTCCTTTCAGCTTGTGTGTAGATGAAGGGATCTGCAGCAACCTTGCTGCACTGGTAGCAGAAGCAGGTGTGCCAATAAACAATAACTGTTGTAAGAAATACAGCATGACCCCTCTGCCAGGGAATGCTGCCCTGCTACAGATTGCTAGTGCAGTGATGAGCAGATCACTTGGATACAACTTGCTGTAATTCTGTATTTTCATGTACAACTCATTACTCACATGGGTGAACCCTTTTTTTGGGTGCTTGAGAAGCATCTCAAAATTCATCAACAAAGCTGGAGCATTCAGAGCTGTAGCTGGTAGCAAGAATTGGTGCCTTGAATATGTAAAGTGATATCCGAGTAAGTGGGTTAAAAGAGAATAAATCAGATTTCACAAATTCAATACCTAAAATTAGTTGATTATTTTTGGCCGCTGATGCCTTTAATTTCCTTATGCCTCACTTCCCCCTTCTGTACAGAGTGAGGAGTAACACCATATCAGATTCCAGACAAGCTACAAAAAAATACTCATTACTCTTCACAAAGCTGCCAGACACAGTGAAAAAACCCTACAGAAAAGCCCTTAAGAAAATGAGTTCTGTTTTGTGCAGCGTTTCAGTGATATGCAGTAAATAATACCTGTGTTTCCCCACCAGATTGATTCTGAGTCTTTACCTAGTCAGAAACATCATCCATCTCTCCCGTAGATTAAAGACCAGGAAGGAAAGCAGAGCGCGTAGTTATGGTGTCATACTGGCAAACCAGTTTTTTAGAATCTTAGCTTTCATGCGTTCGCCTGCAGAGGGAGACGTTCGGGACTTGTGTAAGAGAGTCGGTCGCACGGTGGCAGCCAGGACCTGCGGGAGCGCAGGGCTCGCAGAAACTGCTGCCCACCCTGCCCTTCCGAGGATTTCTTTCCGCAACTACATTCGCAGCAGAAATTTCAGTAATTTTCACATCGAATTGTCCATAATTACGGGAGCATGAAGACATTTCCGAGACCAAGATGACCCTCATTGTGTGAAGGCTGCGTGACTGACCTGTCATGTGAGCCAGAGTACAAAAATACTCTACTTGTGCATTAGGTGGTTTTATACCACAGCTGCCAACTGTGGTAAACTTTCACTACAGCTTTACACCTCCCAAAGAACTGGGCACCTTTCGATACTCGTTACACCTTGGTTGCCGTGAGCAAGATCTCGCAGGCCTGGAATAAGGCTATGCCTTCACTTCCTTATGTGTGGCACAGTGTGTGTGACCTGAGGAAACATCACAAAATTGTGGTATTCAGTCGTTTTTCCTGCAAGTAATTTTCTCTTGAGCAACCGTTTTAGGATGTGTCATGTCTGAATGGAGCAGTAATAAACAGAGGGGACCGGGTATTCAGAGCACTGAGCATTGCAGTGGCCAGGGTAGGGTTCTGCCCTGAAACCCTAAATAATAAGTAGCACCAACTTAAGCCTCTTATGGCAGTTGCCTAATCTTCATCCTGAAAAAATTCTTCAATTCGAATTTAAAAGAATAGAAGATTTTGGTTTCTCATATGTCTCAGAAGAATAAATGTAGTCTGTAATTAATAATTTCCCTAGTTTGCTGAACTGTTACCACTGATTACTTTCTAGAAAAAAATTACTCCACTGCATCTTTAAACCAGTGCTTTGGCACAGTGCCCTAGAAGAATACTGTCCATACACCCTCTGCATATTTCTGAAAGCTGTACAGTGAAATCAGGAAAAGTTTTGCTCACAAGATGTCATGCTTCACCTGCAACTCATTAATAAGAAACATGAGTGGAAGGAGACAAAGAAAGAAATAGTAAAATAAAGTGCCTTCATGACCTGTAGTATTAAGAAAAAATCTAGTGCAGCCTCCAGATTGACTGGAACTATTTCTCATGCACTATGTCCCCAAAATATGTCTAACAACACCAGCTGAATGTTCTTTCAGGTTTTTTAGCCAGCATGTCCAGAAACAGTAAGAAGTTTGCAGGTTTTGCTTAGATAAGTAGCTATCACTGTAGATTTTAAATCCTCCTCTACACTGTCAGCTCTCCTCTCCTGCCAGTAATGCTTAGCTATACAGACGAATCTACTTTTTTTCCCATTATTGGAAAAGAGCCTAAAGAACAGTTACACTGTAAATTTTACTAACAAATTTTGTGAAAAAATATTTTCACATTTAAGAATTAAAAAAAACCCAGTAAAGACAAATCAGGGTGCTAAAATTGTAGGGTTCACTATCATCTGTTTTACATAGAAAATACAGTGGCTTAATTTCACTTCTTATTTTTAATTGACTTAAATATTTGGTTCTGTTTGGGGGCTTTTTTACTGGTATAATACATGAATCGACACAAACTGTGAACTATATCATGACAGTCCTTAAAATTTTAAAGTATGTCCTTAAAAGTGTGCAATTAAGTAATTAAATAATGAAGTTGCTTTTGAATTGCTCAGCAATGTTCTCCATAACTTCTACTGCTAATACATACACAGTCTTTCAAACAAATTTCCACGTGTGTTTGAAAGGCAAGCTAAAAGTCACCAAGCCCCTTCTTTGTAGCGTGACACAAGCTTAATCCTAATCCATTGTAGCATGACAGCCATTACTGACCTAAAGACTCTGGTAAAATTTACATAAATCTAGTTTTGGCAAGGAAGAAGCTTAAGAAATTTACAATGATGTATAAATCCTCACTAAGTCTACAGTGAACTGTTTGATTAGAAAACTACATAATCAAGATGCTTCCTAAGGAATCAATTTACACCTAATGATACTTGGTGACAAGAACAGCTGCTTAATTTGTATTGCAATTTCAGTTAATTGGGACACCTTCAGGTGACGTGGGTCAGTGCATCCTCCTCCTGGCACCTTGCAGTGGCCCCAGTCTGCTCTCACTCACTGCAGGTTCACATATAGGTGCCAAGAATTAGCAGGTACCACTTGCCAGTGGATCACAGCCACCTTCCCACAACTCTGTAAGACTTCCCATGTGTTAGACTACTTATAACAGGGAGATGCTTAATTCAGTACTGTAAGGTGCTTAGCTACTTGGTCAGCCTAATTTTAATGAAAATATCCAGCCCCTGCAAGAGCCGAAATTCTTCCTTCTTAAAAAGGCTAAAGAGAAGATTGATCAACATCACATGGAAGGTAGTACTAAGTCTTTTAAATCTTAAAATGTGCAATTACCTGTTGCTCATTAAAGCATGGTCTTATCTGGAACAACTGCTGAAAACTAATTTAAATATGCTCTCCAAAGTTTAGACTGAATAACCAGAATTAAACATTTAATAAAATAAATAGTATTAGCACACAGAACCTGTTAGGATGGAAGATGGTTTGCTGGCTTATTAAAATGAGAACTGTGATTCAGAAAGCTTGTATCTTTTTACATGAATTCTTCTATTGCAGTATGAAGTCTCTGGTACATTGTCTTCATAAGATGCAGCTTTAATAAGAAATAAAAGAACATTCAATGCCTTCAAGCAGGTTCAGATATTCCAATTTTGCCATTGCTCTGTATAAAAGAGCATGAAGAGCACCTGAGGTGCTGAAATTTGATTGCTACTGGAAAGTAGTTGGTTGCCTGTCCATGCAGTTATTAAAAATAACAGCATGGCTTAGGTTGAAAGTGACCTTAAAGATCACCTGATCCAACCCCTCTGCTATGGGCATGGACACTTTCCACTGGACCAGGTTGCTCAGAG